AAGGCCACCTACTGACCCCTTCCATTTATGTGGAATGTGCAGAAAGGCTTTCTGTCCTTACAGATTTGCCCAATCAATGGTGGCCAAGGACAAGGGTCAGAGGTGCCAGGAGTGATTGCAAAAAGAAATCCCATACATAGTAAGCAGTGAAGATATTATAAAATTGGTTGTGGTAATAATTGCAAAGCTCCCCACCTTAAAACCATTGAGTTGTATCCTTCATTTTTATTTTGAGATAGTCTCACTGTCTCCAGGCTCGAGTACAGTGGCGCTATTTCGGCTCACTACAACCTCTACCTCCCGGGTTCAAGTGATTCTCCTGCCTCAGCCTCCCGAGTAGCTGGGATTACAGGCACCTACTGCCACCACCACCATGCCTGGCTAATTTTTTTGTACTTTTAGTAGAAACTGGTTTTCACCATGTTGGCCGGGCTGGTCTTGAACTCCTGATCTCAGGTGATCCACCTGCCTCAGCTTCCCAAAGTGCTGGGCTTACAGGTGTGAGCCACTGTGCCCAGCCGAGTTGTACACCTTTAAATGAGAGGATTGAGCCAAGTATGGTGGCATGTGCCTGTAGCCCCAGCTAGCTGCAAGGCTGAGGTGGGAGGATCGCTTGAGCCTAGGAGGTTGAGGCTGCAGTGAACGGTGATCACACCACTGCAGTCCAGCTTGGGCAACAGAGTGAGACCCACCATCTCAAAAACAAAACAAACAACACTGTGAAAACCAAAAGTTGTGGGTGGAGGTGAGAGAAGTGGAGGTATGGGACCTAGAATGAGCACTGAGCAGGTGTGAGCAGAACCTTGGCTCCCGAATTACTTCCTTGTCCTCTCAGAGGCCATGAACCTGGAGCTTTGCAAAACCCGCTGCTGCTGTGATATGAGCCATTTCTAAAGGCCTTGCTGAGCCAGACCTCCCATTGGCTCTTCCTAACCTGAGCACTGGGAAAGACAAACCCAACATCAGACTACAACTAGGTAGTGGCGATAGTGGCACAATGTAATGAGTGGACATGATGCCACTAAGCTCAATACTTCAGAGTGGTTAAAATGGGCCAGGTGTGGTGGCTCACGCCTATAATCCCAGCACTTTGGGAGGCTGAGGTGACTGGATCACTTGAGCCCAGGAGTTCCAGACCAGCCTGGGCAACATAGTGAAACCCCGTCTCTACCCAAAAAAAAAAAAAAAAAAAAAAAAAAAAAAATTAGGTGGGTGTGGTGGCACAGACCCTGTAGTCCCAGTTACTTGAGAGGCTGAGGCAAGAGGATTGCTTGAGCCCGGGAGGTGGAGGCTGCAGTGAGCCATGATAATACCACTGTACTCCAGCCTTGGTGACATAGTGAGCCCATCTTACTTATTTTTTTGAGATGGAGTCTAGCTCTGTTGCCCAGGATGGAGTGCAGTGGCACGATCTCGGCTCACCGAAAACTCCACCTCCCGGGTTCAGGTGATTGTCCTGCTTCAGCATCCGGAGTAGCCGGGATCATAGGCTCCTGCCACCATGCCCAGATAATTTTTGTGTTTAGTAGACACTGGGTTTCACTGTGCTGCTCGGGCTGATCTTGAACTCTTGACCTTGTGATCTGCCCCAAGATCTCCCAAAGTGCTGGGATTATAAGCAAGAGCCACCATGCTTGGCAGTGACCCTATCTTTTAAAATAAATGGTGAAAATGGTCAACTTTGTATTGTTAATATATATAAAATACTGGCTCAATCCTTATTTAAAGTACAAAACTCGGCTGGGCGCAGTGGCTCACACCTGTAAGCCCAGCACTTTGGGAAGCTGAGGCAGGTGGATCACCTGAGATCAGGAGTTCAAGACCAGCCTGGCCAACATGGTGGAAACCAGTCTCTACTAAAAGTACAAAAAATATAAGAAACAACCACCACACTATGTTGCCTTCTGCCCTGCGATTTCTGTTTACAAGGCTGGAAGAGTAGTCACGCTCCTTTTCTTCCCCTAGGCTTATTTTCCCCTCATTGGTCAGGAGCCCCCCTCCCCTCCTCTCTGTTGGGTGGGGTGCTAATAACTTTATTGGAGGCTTCTGATTGGCTGGATCCCTGTTCTGAATGCCCCCCCCCCCCCCCGCCGCCCCGCCACTCCCCTTCTCCACTCCTGGGCTGGGAGAGTGGGTTGAAGCGGAGCCCTCCTCTTTGGGGAAAAGATTCCAGGACTAGCTGAGCTGCTCTGGAGCCTGAGGCTGGTGGCCCCAGGGCTGGCTGAGGGGTGATGCCAGCCCCCATGGGGCTCCTCGGTCTGGTCCTGCTCTGGCTGCTGGTGGCAGTGACTGCAGAGAGTAAGTAAAACTGATGCGTGTTCCTGGTTCTACCTAGAGTGACGCGAAGGGCAGCCCAGATGCACCTGGGGTGGTGCTTTTGTAGCCGGATGCCTGCTGACTTGCCTTTCCACTGCCACTTTCTATTTTGCTTTTCATGGGGCAGGACGGCGAGAGATGACAGGTGAATCCTCATCTCTCACTCACTTCCTCGACCATCATCCCCTGGAAACTCAGACAGGGAAGGGGGATTGGGAAGCTGCGGAGACCAGATCTGAAGCCTGGAGTGAGAAAATGCTGCCTTCCAGGCTCACTGAGCTTGAGCCCGGGGGGTGTTGAGGCTGCAGTGAGCCAAGATCAGGCCACTGTACTCCAGCCTGGGCGACAGAGTGAGATCTTGTCTCAACAAACAAGCGACTTATCTTAATTTTCCTAGTACCCACACTTAAAAATGTTTTTTTTTTTTTTTTTTTTTTTTTTTTTTTAAAAAAAAGGCAGGTGAAATTAGTAACATATTTTATGTAACCTAATATATCCTATATATAATTAGAAAACATCAATAGGAAGTATTAATGATATATATATTTCCCATTCTTCAACATTCCGTGGGTATTTTATACTTATGGTATATTTCAATTTGAATGCTAAATTTTCATTCAAATTGATCTCTTTAGATGTCTTAAAATACAGAGTTGAGAAAGTATGTTTAGGTACTGTGCTAAGTTGTTTCAACCATGTTTGAAAGTTTTCTTTTTTAAAAAATATTCTTTATAGAGACGGGATTCACCATGTTGCCCCAGCTGGTCTCAAATTCTTGGGCTTAAGCAATCCTCCCAAAGAGCTGGGATTACTGGTATGAACCACTGCACATGGCTAAAAGTCTATTAATAATTGAATTGAGTATTGGTTTTTCATTTAAATAAAATTAAATGAAAAGTTTCTCTAACTAGTAACGTTTCAGATGTTTAGTAGCCCCAGGCTGGACAGCACAGGCCAGATTGTGGGGCCTTGGATTAGTTGTAAATGATTGTTGTGATAGTTGGGCTTTTATTTCAGCATATAGCACTGCCTGGCATACCATAGGTGCTCAGTAAATTGTGTTGGCTTCATAAAAGAATGCACACGGATCAGAACTGACAGCTGAGAAAGCTGAAATGGGACTTGATTGCATTTGCTGGCTCGAGATGACACTGATTTCAGTCCATTCCAGGTCTCTTTCAAGAAGTTAGTCAGATCTGACTGAAGAATTTATTATCGCCAGTGTGCAATGTTGTCCCATCCTTGGTTAATCTATTATGAATCTATCATTGCATTCCATTTTTCTGAAATTTTAAAAATATTTTACATGTGTTTTTTTTAAGTGCTCAGGAAATGGGTGGGGTACAGGGTTAATTCAAGCACAAGGCTCTCGAAACTCAGCTCACTTCTGCAGGTGATGGTGGATGGAGGCTGGCGGGCCAGGCTGCTTTTTAGCCTAGCAGAGCAGGAAAGCAGATGCAGGGATTGTCTGTTGAGCAAACAAGCAGAATGCTGGGCTTGTGCACAACGGAGAATGTCATGATTATGCACACATAGGTTTAACTTGCCCAGTGTCTGAGTGATCAAAGAGTTGGAGGAAAGTTGGAAGGGAAGTTGATTGGGTTGAATGTCTTTGAAAAGTGATTTTATCTGTTGATACTCTACTTGAATGTAAAGAGGGATTTGTTAGATGTGTCAGAATATTTGGGGGGAAAAACCCTGCCAAATATCCTACCACGTTCTGTTGTTTCATAAGTTCTAAACAAAATAGTATATAATGCACCGCAGCTCCCACCCCTCCCCATTTTGGGGAAATGATTTGTTTTTCTTTTTCTTTTTTTCCCCCTTTTTCAGACACGGTCTCACTCTGCTGCCCAGGCTGGAGTACAGTGATGTGATCTTGGCTCACTGCAACCTCTGCCGCTCGGCTAAAGCAATTCTCCCACCTCAGTCTCCTGAGTAGCTGGGACCAGGATGTGCGTCACCATGTCTGGCAAATTTTTTTTTTTTTTTTTTTTTTTTTTTTTGTAGAGAGGGGGTTTTGCCATGCTGGCCAGGCTGGTCTCGAACTCCTGAGCTCCAGCCATCTGTCCACCTCGGCCTCCCAAAGTGCTGGGATTACAGGCATGAGCCACCACACATGCGCTGGTGATGGCGGTGAGGGCTAGATTCTGCATTGTGCTCCGCTGTGTCATTGCACCTTCTCGTTTCTGCTCTTTCTGCTGCTTCATCCTCTTCATGCTCTAACCCCGCCAGCAGATGCTGACCCTGCCCGTGGAGCGCACTCCTTCCCCCCTGCTGCTCCTCCAGCTCCATCTCTCCATCTGCGGCTCCTGGCCTTTCCTGGCCCAGGGGCCCGAGCTCTGAGTTCCAGACCTTTTCCGGGGCACTGTCCTGTTCCTCCTCGTCACCTCAGGGCAGTGCCCGTGGGCTCCTCCTCCAGCTGCTGCGGGCCTGGGCCAGCTGGGTCAGTGTCGTGGCGCCGACAGTGCATTTCCCGCCCCGGGGTGGCAGCAGCAGCAGGTGCAGTGCCCGCGGCACCCCATGGAGGCTGGTGTGGGCGCCGCCTGGAGGTTGCTGTGGCGCCCCCTGGAGGTTACTGTGGCGGTTGTTAATGCCCAGTGCCCAGACTGGGTCTTCCCGGCTGCGTCGCTGCTGCCCCCTACCGGGGTGGCGGGGCCAGGGTTCCACGCGGCTTCATCTTGATTTGCCTTCGCTCCTCCCGGAAGTCAGCGGTGCCGCCCCCGAGGCTGCTGCTGCCCAGGTCGCCGTATTCCCCGCGGGGCCGGCTGCGCTCTCGCCTCAGGCCGCCCACCCCGCTCCAGCCGCCGCCGCCTCTGCCTTGCAGCTGCGGGAAGAGGAGATGGAGCGACCTCCAGGCACCGGGAGGCCGCGGCTCCCACAGCAACCGGCGGGACTGAGGAGAAAGACGCCAGGAAGCGGAAGGTTCTCGCCGGCCCGAGGGTCGCTTTGGGCTGCACCCCTTGGTTCCTGCCTGCGAGCAGCTGCTGGGACCCTCCCTGCCAAGTTGCTCCCCGAAAAGCTCCAAGGCTCTCGGGTCTGCAGGGAGGGACACTTTCCCCCTCACTGTGAGTCTGCAAACTCGGAGCCGGGCGGACCGCGAGGTCAGGAGATTGAGACCAGCCTGGCTAACGCGGTGAAACCCGCCTCTACTAAAAATGCAAAAACCAGCCAGGCGTGGTGGCACACACCGGTGGTCCCAGCTACTCAGAAGGCTGAGGCCGGAGAATCGCTTGAACCCGGGAAGTGAAGGTTGCAGTGAGCCGAGGTCGCACCACTAAACTTCAGCCTCGGCGACAGAATGAGACTCCGTCTCAAAAAAAAGACACAGGTAAGGATGTGCACTCATAAGACAGTCATCTGTATTCTGCCCTGTGGTTTATGAGCTGTCGTGGCTCTGGAATAGTCTCTATTACATAGACTCTGCCCAAACCAATCGGACCTTTTTTAAAAAACAAATTTGAGAGGCGGAGGTAGAGAAAAAAAATTTTTTTTAAATTAAATTAAATTAAATTTTTTACCCCCCAAAGACAGGATCTCACTCAGTCGCCCAGGCTGGAGTGCCGTGGCGCTATTACAGCTCGCTGCAGCTTCAGACCTGAGGGATTCCACCTTGGACCTGTCTCTGCCCCCTCAGTAGCTAGGACTTTAGGCATGCCCCACCACACCCGGCTCATTTTTAAAAATTATTTTTTGTAGAGATGAGGATCTTACCATGTGCCCAGGCTGGTCTCCAACTCCTGGAGTCGACAGGTTCTCTTGCCTCGGCCTCCCAGAGTGTGGGGATTATATATTATAGGCGTGAGCCACTGAACCTGGCCCAGACCTTTTCTTGTTAGAAGTCTGGACTTTGCTCCAGGTTAAAAGGGACATTCCCACTCCTGTAATTCCCAGTCTCCTTTAACGGGACAGATAAAAATGTGTTTTTCTGATAACAGAACTTCAAAATATATGAAGCAAAAATGTGCAGGAAAGGAGACATAGACAGATTCACCATTATATTTGGGGATTCTAACACCCTAAACATGTATTAAGGATATCAAAAATCTAAACACTGTCAACCAGCTTTTGCTAACTGACATAAATAGAATACTGCCTTCAGTGACTATTAAAAATGCTCTTGGCCAGGCACGGTGGCTCACACCTGTGATCCCAGCGCCTTGGGAGGCGGAGGCGGATGGATTGCTCAGGAGCTGGAGACCAGTCTGGCCAGTGTGGTGAAACCCCGTCTCTACTAAAGATACAAACAAATTAAGCAGGCATGGTGGCGTGTACTTGTAATCCCATCTGCTGGGGAGGCTGAGGCAGAGGGAGGTGGAGGTTGCAGTGAGCCGAGATTGCACCAGCTGGGCAACAGAGCGAGACTCCATCTGAAAAAAACAAAGTTTTTTTTGACTGCACAAGGAGTATTTGCCAAGAGAGACCTTGTACTGAGTCCAAAAAATAAGTCTCTTGGCCGAGCACGGTGGCTCACACCTGTAATCCCAGCACTTTGGGAGGCTGAGGCAGGCAGATCACAAGGTCAGGAGACTGAGACCATCCTGGCCAACATGATGAAACCCCGTCTCTACCAAAAATACAAAAAGAAATTGCTGGGCATGGTGGTACATGCCTGTAGTCCCAGCTACTCAGGAGGCTGAGGCAGGACAATTGCTTGAACCCAGGAGGCGGAGATTTGCCACTGCACTATAGCCTGGGTGACAGTGAAAGATTCTGTCTCAAAGAAAAAAAAAGAAGTCTCTTAATACCAGCTGATGGAAATGTTATGGAGTATTCTGTTCTCTGACAATGCTGTAATTAAATTAGTAATCAATAATAATAAGATAACTAGAAAATCTCCAAGTGCTTGGGAATTAAATAGCACACTTCTTTATTATCCATGTGTCAAAGATTAAATCACAAGCAATCTTAGAAAACATTTGAAGTGAATGATAACAAAAACACTGAAATTCATGGAATACATCTAAAGCAGCTATGGGGAAAAATCTTCATATTAAAGGCTTACTGTAAGAAAGAAGACAGTTTTAAAATCAATGAATCATCTAAACCATGAGTTGATAGACTTTTTCTGTAAAGGTCCAGGTAGCAAATATTTGAGGCTTTGAAAGTCATATAAGTCTGTCACATATTCCCCCCAACCCCAACCATTTAAAAATATAAAAACCAGACTGGGTGCAGTGGCTCATATCTGTAATTCCAGCACTTTGGGAGGTTAAGGTGGATGGATTACTTGAGATCACGAGTTTGAGACCAGCCTGACCAACATAGTGAAACCCCATCTCTACTAAAAACGCAAAAGTAGCCAGCGTGGTGGCGTGTGTCTCTAATCCCAGCTACTTGGGAGGCTGAGACAGGAGAGTTGCTTGAATCTGAAAGGCAGAGGTTGCAGTGAGCCAAGATTGCCCCACTGCACTCCAGCCTGGGTGACAGAGTGAGGATTTATCTCATAAAACAAAAGTAAAAAGCCATTCTTAGGTGGGAAGCAATACATAAAGATCATGGGCATGATTTAGTAGTTTGGCAAACCCTGATCTGTGCTTCCATCATAAGATTCTAAAAAAGAAGAATAAATCAGGCTGGGTGCGGTGGCTCACGCCTATAATCCCATCACTTTGGAAGGCTGAGGCGGGTGGATCAATAGGTCAAGAGATCGAGACCATCCTGGTCAACAAGGTGAAACCCCATCTCTACTAAAAATACAAAAATTAGCCGGGCATGGTGTGGCGCGCCTGTAGTCCCAGCTACTTGGGAGGCTGAGGCAGGAGAATTGCTTGAACCCAGAAGGCGGAGGTTGCAGTGAGCCGAGATCATGCCATTGCACTCCAGTCTGGGTAACAACAGCAAAACTCCATCTCAAAAAAGAATAAATCAAACGGAATGAAAGAGGTAAAGATAATAGTCAATTAAATAAAAAAGGGGCCAGGCACAGTGGTGCATACCTTAGGCCAAGCTGGCAGATCGCTTGAGCTCAGAAGTTTGAGACCAGCCTAGGCAACATGGCGAAACCTTATTTCTTTTTCTTTATTTTTTTGAGATGGAGTCTTGCTCTGTCACCCAGGCTGGAGTGCAGTGGTGCGATCTTGGCTCACTGCAACCTCTGTCTCCTGGGTTCAAGCTATTCTCCTGCCTCAGCCTCCTGAGTAGCTGGGATTACAGGCCGGTGCCACCATGCCTGGCTAATTTTTGTATTTTTTTTAGTAGAGACAGGGTTTCGCTAGTGAAACCTTATTTCTACAAAACAAAAGCCTGGCATTGTGGTGCATGCCTGTAGTCCCACCGACTTTGGGGGCTGAGGCAGGAGAATTGCTTGAGCCTGGGAATTCGAAGCTTCAGTGAGCCATGTTAATGCCACTGTGGTGTGGTCGTAGCTCACTGCAGCTTCCAAGTCCTGGGCTCAAGGGAGTGTGAGCTAGGACTATAAGCAGGCCCTACCATGCCCGGCTAATTTTTAGCTTTCTTTTGTTGAGGTGGGGGTTCTCAATTTGTTGTCCAGACTGGTCTCAAATCGGTGGCCACACGAGAGCCATCGTGACCTCTCAAAGTGCTGAGATTACAGGTGTGAGCCACCATGCCTGGTGCAAAAATGGTTCTTTGAAATTGATCAATCTCTAGTTAGTCAAGAATAAAAGGAGAGAAGAGAATTTGCCACTATGAGGAATAAAGAGGACATTTCTACAGATCCTGCAGACATTAAAATGGCATTACATGTAACTTTATGCTAATACATTTGGCAGCTTAGAGGACATAGACAAATTCCTTCAAAGACACAAACTATCAAATCTCTCAGGTTACTCAGGAAGAAAGGTAATTTGAATAGCCCTACATCTGTTAAAGAGAGTGAATTTATAGTTTAAAAACCTTCCCTCAAAGAAGCGTTATATCTAGATGTCTTTACTGGTGAATTTTGGCAAATATTTAGGGAACAAATAGAAACCATTCTGTACAAACTTTTGCTGAAAAATAAGAACACACTCCAATTCATTTCATTAGGCTAGCGTTATAAAATGTAATTTAGCAGCCAGGCGAGCTCACGCCTGTAATCCCAGCATTTTGGGAGGGTGAAGCAGGCAGACCATGAGCTCAGGAGATCGAGAGCATCCTGTCTAACATGGTGAAACCCTGCTCTACTAAAAGTACAAAGAATTAGCCAGGTGTGGTAGCATGTGCCTGCAGTCCCAGCTACTCAGGAGGCTGAGGCGGGAGAATTGCTTAAACCTGGCAGGCAGAGGTTGCAGTGAGCCAAGAGCATGCCACTGCACTTCAACCTAGGTGACGGAGCAAGGCTCTGTCTCAAAAAAAGATACATATATATCTGTGGCATCTTTTTTAAAATTTAATTTTTAAAATTTTAATTTAGCAATACATGCAAATTGTAAGATGTCATAATCAAGTGGGGTTTGTATCAGGAATGCAAAATGTAATAATCAAAAACTAATCTAATTTACAGACTAAAAAAGAAAAGCCATATGATTCTTTCACTAGTTGCAGAAAAAGTATATGATAGAATTAATGATTTTTTTAAAAACCTCATCAAATTGGGAAAGAAGTAAACTTTTTCAACCTGGTGAAGAAAATCTATGAAAAACCCATAGCTAACAGCTAAGATGAGGAACAGGGCAAGGATGTCTGCTGTCACCACTTTTAGTCCACATTTTACTGGCGATCCTAGCAAGTGTAAGGGAAAGGATATACCAGGGAAAGGATATACCAGACATGCAGATTGGAAAGGAAGAGATACAGATGTTACAGACAACATTGATTGCAGAAAATCTTAAGGAATCTATATTGAAAAGCTATCAGAATTAATAAGTGGGTTTAGCTAGGTTATAGGCTACATGGACAATATACAAAAATCAGTTTTATTTGTACATACTCATAAACAATTGGAAAATGGGGAAAAATGCCATATATAACAGCATCAAAAAACAGGAACTACTTCAGGCTAAATTTAACACAGTATGTATAAGACCTAGACACTTAAAGTTCACAACATTGCTAAGATAAATAAGATCCAGTTATTTGGGAGACAGTTCTCCAGCTGCACCACCACTCTTACACATTAGTGGGACTTGTCACACCCGTGGGCTTTTCTTGAAGCCACTGTGTGGTCACTGCCCTTTGGATTTATTTGCGTTTGATGGCAGCTTATATTTAGCCCATTGGAAACTCAGGGTTTCTATTCTTCCTTGTGGGCTTTTCGTCTTTTCCCTCCTGGCTGCTGAAGCGATCGGGCCGAACGAGGTGAAAAGTCCACCTTCACAGGCAGTAAGATATATAGATAAGTGACACCATCACCCTGTTTCAGATGTTACCATGTCTAGGTGTGTTAGGGGTGATTTGAGACCACACAACCTTGTGCCACAAAGTGGAATTCCTGGGCCGGGGGAGGCATTTGATTGCCACGTTATGATCTTAATGAGTGTAAAGGCAGTCTCGTTTCATTTTGGATTCTTCTGTTGATATCTTATAAGGGGACTTTGAATTTCCAAGCATATAATAATTTTTGGTTAGCTTTTAATCATTGACTTCTAACACAATTCTGTGACCAGAAACCTGCTGTGTGATTGGATTTGTCTGAAATATATTGAGATTTGCTTGATAAACAAAATAAGTCGGGTTAATTTTTGTAAATGTACATCACATGCTTAAAACTAGTGTAGCTCCAACATCTTCCTGAGATACAGGATGATGGACGATGGCTGCATGGATGTGATGGAGGTGCTTTACCATTGGGTCCTTCCGAATCCTTCTGATGTTTTGTTGCTTAGAATATGAATGGCTGAGAGGGGGCTATAGAGCCTCCCAATCTGCTTGTGTGTGAGGTTCTTCCTGCCATCCTGCTATCATTTGTTTCTTATATTTTGCAGCCAAGACTGACCATGAGAAACCCTGGAAGCTCAGGAAGGAAGGAGCCACCCAGGAGCAGGGACAGGGAGCTGGCGGGGAAGGCCAGAAATCAGGTCTGTGAAGGTTCCAGAGAGGACCTGTCCTTGGGAGTCATGTTTGGGGCTGAGATGGGGGAGGGGCATTGGAGGACACAGGTGCTCCGCGGAATGTCCACTGTGAGGTAGCACATTCCGGGGCCAGGGATTGGTGGAGAGGGAGTATAAAGCATGAGGGTTGCTTAGGCAGCGCCCAAACAGGAGAAGTTTTGGTGGAAACCAGAGCCCTGGTCTCCGTCTAATTGCTCCTGAGCCTCCGGCTTTCTTACCTGATAGACTTTCTCCCTGACTTGTAGTTGAACCTCCCACTCGCACTTGAAGACTTAGTTTCAACCCGATCCTTTCCTAGACTCCTTTCTCCTCCCCCTCCTCCAGGTGCCCAACATCCCCCATTCCCCTCCCTCCCCTTTCTTCCCATCCCCCTCCCCAAGTCAGATCCTGCCCCATCCCCATCCCCTTCCCTCCCTCAGCCCTAAGCCACCCCCACCTCTGTCCTGGCCGCCTCAGGGCGCCCTGAGAGGACCAGGACATGCGGGTGCCGTGGCTGCTCTTTTGGCTCCTCCTGCTGGGGTTTCCCAGCCACCAATCCACCCCTGTGAGTAGACGCTGGGCCCTCGGGGTTTCTTCCTTGTTATTGGGCTGTGTCACATGGCATATTACACAGTGCAGGCCTGTAACTTAGCGCTTTGAGGGGTTAAGGTGGGCAGATCACCTGAGTCCAGGAGTTCAAGCCTGGGCATCATAGCCAAACCCTTTCTCTACAAAAGATTCCAAAACTGACTAGTTGGATGCCTACTGCACTCTGGTCTCAAACAAAACCAAAACAAAGTGAAATGTCACTTGAGTTTCGTGTCATCTGGTTTGATGACTTTTAGGAACTTCTGTGTCATCCGTGTCTTCTGCTCTTGGGGGCTGCCTCTAGGGAGTCTGTGTCCAGTCAGTGTGATGGGAGCTGAGAAGCCCATCAGATGGAGAGGAAAGGGCTGCACCTGCTGGGAGGTTTGCAATGCGGGAGTCACTGGGAGTGATGTGACCAGGATGTGAGTGAGGACTGTCCTTGGTTTTGTGCAATGTGTTTGGTGCAGATCATTGATTGACCCAAAGGAGAAAGGCTCTTAAAGTCCTTATGTTATTTAAATACAAAGAAATGACAGGCCTGGTGTGGTGGGTCACACCTGTAACTGGGAGTCCGAGGCTGGCGGATCAGTTGAGGTCAGGAGTTTCAGACCAGCCTGACTGACATGGTGAAATGCTGTCTCTACTAAAAATATAAGAATCAGTCAGGTGTGGTGGCAGGTGCCTATAATACCAGCTACTCAGGAGGCTGAGGCAGGAGAATGGTTTGAACCCAGGTGACGGAGGTTGCAGTGAGCCAAGATTGCACCACTGCACTCTAGCCTGGGCGACTGAGTGGGACACTGTCTAAAAAAAAAAACAATTTTTTTTTTTTTTTTTGGAATTTTTTGTTTTGTTTTTTTTTTTTTTTTGGAGACAAAGTCTCCCTCTTGTCTCCCAGGCTGGAGTGCAATAGTGCAATATTGGCTCACTGCAACCTCTGCCTCCCTGGTTCCAGCGATTCTTCTGCCTCAGCCTCCTGAGTAGCTGGGATTCCAGGCACCCACCACCATACCTGACTAATTTTTGTATGTTTGGTAGAGATGAGGTTTCACCATTTTGGCCATGCTGGTCTGGAACTCCTGACCTCAGGTGATCCCCTCGCCTCACTCTCTGAGAGTGCTGGGATTACAGGCATGAGCCACTGCGCCTCGCCTTTTTGTGATATTTTTTAAGACCATCAGCTATTGTTAGGGTTAGTGTATTTTATGTGTGGCCTAAGACAAGTTTCCTCCTTTTCATATGCCCAGGAAGCAAAAAATTTGGATATCCCAGCTTTACGTCAAGAAAAACAAAGACACTGTATCTTTAGAATGCCTAAACACACTACCAGCCATGCAAATAACATGAGACAGGTAACTTTCAATGTTTTTTGAAGCAGTGGAATCCCCTGGTGTTATCTGAGGGGTGTGGTTACCTCTTGGAGGAGGTTGATGGTTTCTAAAGATTATTGTTTTTTGCTGAAATATTGTGCATGTCACTGACCTTTTCATGATTTCAACTGTTATTATTGCAGGCCATGAGTTTTCCACCTGATTATCTGTATCCTTGGCATGGCTTTCTTGGCGTTCTGTGGATGCTTTTAACTATTGTGTTTCTGGGAGTTTCTACCGTTGGCCTTTTCCTCCGAAAAATTACCTTCTGTGTGAGTATACTAACTTCCTGTAGAGATATACTTGTAATCACACATAAGAAGAAATTATTTAAAACAATTCATGGTTCTGGACTTCATTATGAATATTGGGTTTTACCAAAAACATCAGGGAAATGATTTATTAGCATAAGAATTATAAAAATATCTGCCATTTACATCATGAAAATTAAATAGATTGATGTTTGTTGAATGGAATGTCAACAGAGCTTTGGGTCAAAACTAAGTTTTCCTTTTTTTAACCTTTGTGATCTTTATCAGAAATGGAGTATGAAGTTTTGGCACTTTAAATAGGAAATTCTGTCTAAACTTTTCGCTTCATAATTCTATCATATGGCTGGAAGGAAAGCTTTCACTCTCCTCTCTAAAGATTCACTGCAGAAACTGACAGCAGACAGCTTAACAGGAGAAGCTGTTTATACAACAGGCAGAAACATGGGAGCCAGCCGAGAAATGAGACTGCAGGAAGGGTCAGATGGTTGGTGCTTAAAGGGCACCCTCTTTTCAGGGGAGATGGAGATGGGGGCAGTTTAGAGGGGGAGTAAGTGATTTTTAGGGGAAATGAAAGAGCCCAAAGAACAAAGTTGGCCTGAGACAAAGTTCCTCTGAGATCATGGAGAAGAGGCGACAAACGGTAGGACGGCGAAGGGCAGAGCTGCCTCTCATGATGCAGAGAAAGCCTCAGAGAGTCTGTTGGAACTGCCCTTCAGAGAATCAATGAAGAGTGTGTCTGGGCAGTGTCATTTCAAATGACATCATCAAAGTGCATGTTCCCAGTTGCAGGTGGAGAGGGATCAGTATGTCCAAAGTCTGTACTTGGTAGGAATTTGGCTGCTAAGTTGTGTCATCGTTTGAGCCTTTTTGTCCATTGGGTAGAGTGAGCGCTTTATTTTCTCTGGCCTTTCATGACAGTAAAAACGTGGTTGTCTGGGGGCTGACCCTCCTCCTGAACAATGATCCAAGAAAAAAGCACTAATCCCACAATGCTTTTTATATTCGAGGGAGGAGGAAGTATGTTTTATTTTTACAACCTAGATAATTACCTGCCATTCGGGACTGCCTTTTTCCTTTTTTTTTTGAAATGGAGTCTCACTCTCTGGCCCAGATTCGAGTGCAGTGGCACAATCTCAGCTCACTGTAGCCTCTGCTTCCTAGGTTCCAGTGAGTCTCCTGCCCCAGCCTCCCAAGTAGCTGGAACTACAGGATGTACCACCATGCCTGGCTAATTTTTGTATTTTTCGTAGAGACAGGATTTCCCCATTTTTGCCAGGCTGGTCTTGAGCTCTAAACTCAGGTGATCCACCAGCCTCAGCCTCCCAAAGTGCTGGGATTACAGTTGCGAGTGACCACGCCCTGCTGCATCTAACAGTCTCTACCCCACTTAGTCCTGAACAGAGAATTGTCAATGTAAGTTGGGGGAAGTTTTCTCTTTTTTTTTTTTTTTTTTTGACAATCTGGCTCTGTCACCCAGCCTGGAGTATAATGGTGTGATCTTGGCTCACTGCAACCTCTACCTCATGGGTTTAAGTGATTCTCCTGCCTCAGCCCCCAACGAGTGGCTGGAATGACTGGTGGTCACCACCACATGCAGCTAATTTTTGTCTTGTTAGTAGGAATGGGGTTTTACCATGTTTGCCAGGCTGGTCTCAAACTCCCAATCTCAAGTGATCCACCGACCTCAGCCTCTCAAAGTGCTGGGATTACAAGCGTGAGCCACCACGCCTGGGGAGGGGGTATTTTTCAATGTAGCACTTCTAATTTTAACTAAATTACCTGTGAGTTAAAATCAGAAAAATCAACTTCTACAAAGAACTTGAAAGATGTTCTTTCAGGCTGGGCGTGGTGGCTTTTTCAGGTCACCTCTTCTGCAAGAAATGCTCTTGACAACCGGGTACGTTTTGTTTGTTTGTTTCCCGTGCTTTGGGGCACAGTCTGCCAGATGAGGACGTGGATGTATTTTTCTCCCCACAGCGCTGTGCTCAAGCCTTGGAGAGGGAGACGGCAGAGAGCAAGGCTGCCTACAAGCGGCACAGGTAGGTCATTGTGATGGATTTTTTTTCTTTTTGAGACTGAGTCTCTCTTGCTCAGGCTGGAGTGCAGTGGCAAAATCTCAGCTCACTGCAACCTCTACCTCCCGGGTTCAAGCAGTTCTCTGCGTTAGGCTCCCGAGTAGATGGAATTAAAAGCACGTGCCACTCCGCCTGACTTTTTTGTATTTTTAGTAGAGACAGTTTCTCCATGTTGGTCAGGCTGGTCTCAAACTCCCGACCTCAGGTGATCTGCCCACCTCAGCCTCCCAAAGTGCTGGGATTGCAGGCATGAGCCACCACACTCAGTTGTTATGGTCATTTTTAAGGATTTTTTTTTTTTTTTTTTTCAAGACGAAGCTTTGACTGAGGTGGGTGGATTACCTGAGGTCAGCAGTTCAAGACCAGCCTGGCCAACATGGTGAAACCACGTCTCAACAACAACAAAAAAAGATGAAGCTTTGAATGTCTAGTAAAGAACGTGGTGTTTTAATTCTTCTTAAGTCAGTTCTTTCTCTGTCTTCTAGATGGAGAATCAGGAAAAAGAAAAGAGTGCCAGGGAGACACATGAGTGAGGAGCCAGCCCAGAAACGCCTGTGCCTGAAGAACGCTTTCTGGCGAGGTGGGAGCTCCCGTGAAGGCAGCCGCTCAGTTTCCGCTGCAGGACCCACACGCCCTGCTTCTCCTTTTGGGGGTGAGGGCTCAGGTGGGGTCATTGTCATGTTTCCTGGAGACACTTCCAAGCACTTGTGAAGAGAACAGTTGTCCCGCTGGGGGGCACGACCCCATTTTTCTCAGGTACCCTAGCTGAATGGCTCTTGGCTGGACCCGTGTGAATGGTGGAGCTCAGGCCCCTCCACTGACTGTGGACTTTGCCCCCCACTGACTTCTTGGTTGCTTTTAACTGTGAAGATGAGCCTACAAGGCAAATGGGCCAGCTCCCCCTCCCACCCTGAGTCAGTGTGAAGGCTTTGTTTTTCTTTCCTTAGAGAAAAGTAACAACAATAGCATTTTAGAATGGGAGCTGTAAGTGCTGAGGAGACCAGAGATTTTCGTGCAATGTCTTCATGGCTCAATAAAGCAGTACCTGAGATCTGCTTTAAGAAAAGAAGCCTTTATTTGCACTTTTTGGAACTTCCTTCATTCTTTTTGCTCATTTAAATTGTTTATTGTGAACTAGATAACTCCTTTAGTAAGCTAAATTTCTATGTAATCTTACTCCTCTAACATTTGAAGTGTGACCCTCAAACTTTCCGGTTGATTTCTTTCTTTCTTTTCTTTCCTTTTCTTTTTGAAAACCTCACTCTGTCACCCAGGCTGAAGTGCAGTGGTGCAGTTTTTGCTCACTGCAACCTCCGCCTCCTAAGTTCAAGCAATTCTTCTGCTTCGGCGTCCCAAGTGGCTGGGATTACATGTGCCTGCCACCATGCCTGACAAATGTTTCTTTTTGTGTTTTTAGTAGAGACAGAGTTTCACCATGTTGGTCAGGCTTGTCTGTAACTCTTGACCTCAAGTGATCTGCCCACCTCAGCCTTCCAAAGTTCCGGGATTAGAAGTGTGAGCCACCTCACCCGACCCCCATTTAATTCCTACAGCGCTTACCTTTTCTCATGACTGTTAGTCTCGTTATGTTCATTTCTGTTCATAAATATTGGCAATGCCTGGTGAGATGTGGAGGTTAGATTCACTATGAATCCACGGGATTTTAAATGCCCCGACAGCTGAAGAAAAGGAGCAGTGCTGCAACTGTCCTGGGCCTGTAGCTGTTCTTCCCATCCACGGCTGTTTCTATTTGAATATGGAGTCAGTGCTCACATGATGGGTGATTTCCTCTGATGTGTACTGGGAACCCCTGATTTAAAGCTCATTTCCAGCTGGTTAGAGCCCGACTTGTCCACAGCCTGTTGAGAGTTAAGCAAACCCCTGGACCAGGACTCTGCAGTATCTTCCTCAAGGCTCAGGCCCAGAGGGCACCAGGGTCCTCTGATGCATCTGGTCAGTTAACCCTGTGCCTCTGGTAAGGGACCTGAGTGTGGCAAAGAGAGTGAGATGGCAGCAAAAGGTGTGGAGGGTTTCTTATTCTGCACAGAACATGCAAGCCAGATTTAGCTCCATTTCCTTCTCTTGCCCTTAGCAGATTCAGGACCTCATTCGGTTCCCATGAGGAACAGCAGCTGCGTCCCAAGTGAAATCACAGAGAAGACAAAGGTAAATGCTGGGGTCATTTTCACTCTGCCTGTATCAGGACACTGTAGTCTTTTCCTCCATCGTCCTCTCCTCGCCTGGCCTCTGCTCTGTAGGTTCTGTGATACGTTTTCTATCTGGAATTTTTAGAGCAAAATCTTTCCCATAAGCTTCCTGGCTTCTTCAGTCCCAGCTAGTCATCTTGGGTGGCACCTCCAGAAGCCATAAATGCTTAGGGACTGAGGGCTGAAGGGCTTTTACTGTTCTGTTTTCTGAAATAGCATGAGGAATGCCACTGACCTCCACTCTCGTAGGTGTCATGGCCCAGTGAATGCTGACTGATCTCTGTTACTCAAGGTGTTGTGGGTCTATTTCTGATTGAAGTGGGGTTTTCTCTTATTTTGTTTGTTTTTATCTATAAGGTAGGTGAGTAACATTTGAAATATCTGCTGTATTCTCAGAAGTGATGAAAGTGAAAACTCATTAATCCAGCATTAATATGTGCTTTGTACAATTCTGAATGCTCTTCGTCAAGGTCAATTCTGTAGTTCATCACAGTCCCATTCCTGTTGGTAACTGTGTTGTACAAAATCGCCTTCACCCCCATTTGGTGGTGCCCCGATCTAACATCTAAGTGTCAGAGTTTCTGTATTTGTAGTAAAAAATATGCCTCGATTGTGAGTTAGTGAAAGTGAATGTAACCTATTACAGCGACAATTCCCAACCAAGGCCTTCCATGATGCGCAGCTCTGCTGGTTCTCGTGTGGCTTCTGTACCTTCAACAGCTGCCGAGTCCTGAGATTACACGTGATGGGAACTGTACACTAGAAATTAAACACGTTTCTAAAACTTGCTTTTTTCAGAATTTCCACCTCCTTTTTCCCTGGACAAAAGTATTATTTCTGTCATAATGCACATAAAATTTGTATTACCTGGGAGTTAAGAAATATTCTGGCCATGCCTAACTGACTTGTGTATTGTGTATGTCGGATTGCTCTGACAGAAAACCCTCTCCCAGTTTCCCTGCCTCTCTTCAAGAATCCACATTTCCCCAGAGCCATCTGTGCTCATGGGGGGGACCCCCAGAGTGAAGAAGACCCTTTGTCAAGAAGAGAATCAGAGGGAAAATGAGAGGGTCCTGCAGGGAGAGCTGGAATAGACTTCCACTCTGCCTCCTGCAAGCTCTGTGACCCTGGGCACGTGTTCTTCTTCCTCGGGGAGCCTCTGTTTACTTAGATTTGGAGCAGGGTAGTCACGCTGACTTGCAGAGTTCTGAGAATCAGAGACAGAACATAAAAGGCCTGGAGAACATTCTCCTAAAAGAAGCTGTAACACATGTGTGGACAATGGGCTCTTCATGCCTCTCTTACTCGCTATTTATCTGATGCAAAGAACATGCTCTGGTGATGGCGGTGAGGGAGGAATGAGGATGGACAGAGACACTCCTGTGTCTGAAACATGCTTCTTCCTTACTGCGCTATGACTCTGTCTTCCCGGGGGCAGGCCCCCAGCCTGCCTACATTTGCAGAGAGATGCAGTGGCATGCGGAGAAAACAGTTTGTCCCAATGACTCTTCTTCACTCCCCAGCTGTCAGTGGTACTTAGTGGAAGGGTGACTTCATGACACTGATGCTGCTGTTTTGAAACCTGGAGGATGGAAAGGTGCAGAAAACTATCAGCAGCAACATAAGTTGCAGCCTGTGTTGTTGTTGGTGGTTCTGTCTGTCAAATTAATACATGTCAAAACACTTCCTCCTTCTGCCTGCAGGTTAACATGGCTGCAGCACAGCGTCATCACTGCTCAGCATTGCCCTGCTCACCCTACCTCATGGCTGACCCTTCAGGACCACTGATGGCTTGCCCGCCACCTCCTCCGTCTGGGTGTCGCCTGGGAGCTCCACCATTTTCATCAGCTAAAGGTGTTCTGGGACCTCTGACAACTCCTCGACTCCAGTGTCCACTAGGACCTCTGCGAGCTTCGTCAGATGATGAGTTTTCGAGACCACAGACACCTACACCCGCATGTCTTCTGGCTGCTTTACCACCTTCTTCAGCCAATGATTTTCTGAGCTTATACACAATTCCACCTGAGTGTCTATGCACGCCTCTGCCAGCTTTGTCAGATGATGAGTTGTCGAGACCACAGACACCTACACCCAAATGTCTTCTGGCAGCTTTTCCACCTTCTTCAGCCAATGATTTTCTGAGCCCATACACAATTCCACCTGAGTGTCTATGCACACCACTGCCAGCTTCGTCAGATGATGAGTTTTCGAGACCACAGACACCTACACCTGAATGTCTTCTGGCAGCTTTTCCACCTTCTTCAGCCAATGATTTTCTGAGCCCATACACAATTCCACCTGAGTGTCTATGCACGCCTCTGCCAGCTTCGTCAGATGATGAGTTTTCGAGACCACAGACACCTACTCCTAAGTGTCTTCTAGCTTCTTTACCACCTTCTTCAGCCAATGATTTTCTCGGCTTATACACAATTCCACCTGAGTGTCTATGCACGCCTCTGCCAGCTTCGTCAGATGATGAGTTTTCGAGACCACAGACACCTACACCTGAATGTCTTCTGGCTGCTTTACCACCTTCTCCAGCCAATGATCTTCAGAGTCTGTACGCAACTCCACTCAAATGTCTACAGACACCTCTACCACTGTCTACAGATGATGATCTTTGAAAACCACGGACAGCACCACTCAAGTGTCTTCTGGCACCTGTTGCACCTTCTCCAGATGATGATACTTCAAGAACACAGACACCACCACTTGAGTGCCTTCCGGCATCTATACCACCTTCTCCGGATGATAATCTTTGAAAACCACAGACACCACCACTCAAGTGTCTTCTGCCACCTGTACCACCTTCTCCAGATGATAATCTTTGGAGACCACAGACACCACCACTCGTGTCTTCTGCCACCTGTACCACCTTCTCCAGATGATGATCTTTGGAGACCACAGACACCACCACTCAAGTGTCTTCTGCCACCTGTACCACCTTCTCCAGATGATAATCTTTGGAGACCACAGACACCACCACTCGTGTCTTCTGCCACCTGTACCACCTTCTCCAGATGATAATCTTTGGAGACCACAGACACCACCACTCGTCTTCTGCCACCTGTACCACCTTCTCCAGATGATAATCTTTGGAGACCACAGACACCACCACTCGTGTCTTCTGCCACCTGTACCACCTTCTCCAGATGATGATCTTTGGAGACCACAGACACCACCACTCAAGTGTCTTCTGGCATCTCTACCACCTTCTCCGGATGATCATCTTTGCAAACCACAGACACCACCACTCAAGTGTCTTCTGGCATCTCTACCACCTTCTCCAGATGATCATCTTTGGAAACCACAGACGCCACCACTCAAGTGTCTTCTGGCATCTCTACCACCTTCTCCAGATGATCATCTTTGGAAACCACAGACGCCACCACTCAAGTGTCTTCTGGCATCTCTACCACCTTCTCCAGATGATAATCTTTGGAGACCACAGACACCACGACTCAAGTGTCTTCTGGCATCTCGACCACCTTCTCTAGATGATCATCTTTGAAAACCACAGACGCCACCACTCAAGTGTCTTCTGGCATCTCGACCACCTTCTCCAGATGATAATCTTTGGAAACCACAGACGCCACCACTCAAGTGTCTTCTGGCATCTCTACCACCTGCTCCAGATGATAATCTTTGGAGACCACAGACACCACGACTCAAGTGTCTTCTGGCATCTCTACCACCTTCTCCAGATGATCATCTTTGGAAACCACAGACACCACCACTTGAGTATCTTCTGATACCTCTACCGTCGTCTCCAGCTGATTATTTTCTGAGACGACACACAGCTTCCATCCATTGTCCTCTGGGACCTCAACCACTTTCTCCAACTGAAAATTTTTGAGATTACAAATAGCTCCACCATTTGAATGTCCCCTTGGACCTCAGCTACCTATTTCAATAGAGTGTCTTCTGGTATCTCTTCACCTTCTTGATGATCTTCTGAGACCACAGACACCTCCACCTGAGTGTACTCTAATTCCTCTCCCACCATCTTCAGCTGAAGATTTCCTAAAAAAATCTTCACCCGCACACCTCAACGTGAGTGTCCTCTGGTATCTCTACCACTCTCCAGCTGAAGATGTTCTGAGGCCTCGCACACCACCACTTGAGTGTTCTCTGATACCTCTGCCACCATCTCAAGCTGAAGACTTTCTGAGCCCACACACTCCTCCACCCGAGTGGAATCTGTTACCTTTACCATCTTCTACAGCTAATGACTTTCTGGCAGACCACAGGCAGCTCCACCACTTTAGCATTTTCTGGAACCTCAACTTCCTATTTCAGTCACGTGTCCTCTGGGACTTCAACCACCTACTTCACTCAAATGTCCTGTGCCACCTCAACCATCTTCTCCAAGTGAAGATTCTCTGAGACCACAGTCACCTTCTTCAGTCAAGTGCTCTCTGGTATCTCCACCATCTTCTCCAGCTGGTGATCTTCTGAAACCACAGACACCTCCAGCAATTGAGTGTCCTCTGAGACTTCCTTTATGTCTTCCAACTATTTGTTTTGTGGGACCTCTAGCACCTCCTCCAGCTGCACCTCCTATGGGACCTTATCTACCTCATCCAGGTGTCTGTCCTGAGGTACCTCAACCACCTCATCCATCTGTCTGTCATGTGGGACCCCATCCACCTCATCCACCTGTGTATCCTGGAGGACCCCATCCACCTCATCCACCTGTGTATCCTGGAGGACCCCATCCACCTCATCCAGATGTCTGTCCTGGGGGACCCCATCCACCTCATTTACCTGTCTGTCCTGGAGAGCCCCATCCACCTCATCCATCTCTCTGTCCTGGAGGACCCCATCTACCTCATCCAGGTGTCTGTCCTGGAGGACCCCATCCACCTCATCAATCTATCTGTCCTGTGGGACCCCATCCACCTCATCCACCTGTCTGTCCTGGAGGACCCCATCCACCTCATCCAGATGTCTGTCCTGGAGAGCCCCATCCACCTCATCCATCTGTCTGTCCTGGGGGACCCCATCCACCTCACCCATCTCTCTGTCCTGGGGGGCCCTATCCACCTCATCCAGCTTTCTTTCCTGGGGGACTTCATCTTCTTCCTCCAGCAGTGTGGCCTCTGGGACCTCAGCCTACTCTTCCATTTAGTGGCTACTGGCACCTCGGCCACCTTCTCTACCTTGGTGGCCTTCCTTAGCTATCTAAGCTATCACGTGCGTCTCCTCTAGGACCTAAAGAATCTCCTCATGACCTCTCAGCCCTCAGCCACCTCCTTCCTAGGTTTTCTCTCGTACTTCGACCACCTCCTTCACTTGGCTGACCTGCTGTCTCAACCGACACTCAACCTTCACCTGACTGTCCTCTCGGACTTCATCCCCTCCTCTAGTCATGCGGCCTCTGAGACCTCGACCAACACCTCTAAATGCACCACTTGATGTGTTGATTTGAACGGTATAAAGTAATTTGTAAAAAAATTCATCTCTTCTTTTTTGAGTGAATAGAAAGAAATGGCACAGATGGTCCTGCAGGACTTTGCAGTACAAGGTGACACTGGCTGAGATCCTGGTCACTTTTCTCAGGTTTCTGAGAGTACAGTCGGTTGCAGTATTTCCTCATCATGAGTTTGGCAGCAGGTATCTCTTGTAGATAAAGACACATTTTGTGTTTTTTGTGGGGACAGTCTCACTGTGTCACCCAGGCTGGAGTGCAGTGGTGCAATCCTGGCTCAGTGTAACCTCCGTCTCCAGGGTTCAGGTGATCCTCCCACCATAGCCTTCAGAGCAGCAGCTGGGACTACAGTCACACACACCACCACATTTGGCTTCTTTTTATTTTTTAAATTTTGAGATGGAGTCTCACTCTGTTGCCAGGCTGCAGTGCAGTGGCACCATCTTGGCTGACTGCAACCTCTGCCTCTTAGGTTCAAGCAGTTCTCCTGCCTCTGCCTCCCAAGTAGCTGGGGCCACAGGTGCATGTCCCCATGCCCAACTAATTTTTTGTATTTGTAGCAGTGACAGCGTTTCACCATGTTGGCCAGGACAGTCTTGATTTACTGATCTCTTGATGTGCTCGTCTTGCCCTTTGAAAGTGCTGGGATTACACACATGAGCCACAGTGCCCAGCCTTTCTTTTTTTTTTTTTTTTTTTTATGGAGATGGAGTCTCGCTTTGCCACCAGGGTGGAGTACAGTGGTGCGATCTCAGATCTCAGCTCACTGCAGTCTCTGCCTCCCGGGTTCAAGTGATTCTTCTGCCTCAGCCTCCTGAGTAGCTGAGACTACAGGTGCATACCATCACACCTGGCTAATTTTTGTATTTTTAGTAGAGACAGGGTCTCACCATATTGGCCAGGCTGGTGTTGAATTCCTGACCTCAGGTGATCCTCCCACATCGGCCTCACAAAGTGCTGGGATTACAGGTGTGAGCCACCGTGCCTTCTCTCTCTGTCTCTCTCTTTTTTTAAAACTTTGTGTAGAGACTGTTTCACCGTGTTGCCCAGGCTGGTCTCAAACTTCTGGACTCATGCCATCTGCCAACTTAGGCCTTTCAAAGTGCTGAGATTACAGGCTTGAGCCACCAGCCCAGCCAGAGATTGTGTATAGAAGCCAGAAATAGCAGTTGTGTAGGTGTGCATCAAACCTGGGCCACATGGCCGACTCTGTGAGGGATGAGACCCGTCCCTGACTTGCAGGGCATCCTGTCTTTTCCAGCAGAGAGATCCACACTAAAGGGCACAGAGCTTGTGACCACCCACCCACAGTGGAAGCACAAGTGAATGGACCCAGTGTGCAAAAGAAAGAGACCGAATCTCCTGGGAACAAGCAGGAGGCTGTGAAAGAGAAGACTGGAGCTGGTTGGTTTTCCCTTGGGGGTCTGTGTAACTCAGGTGGAGCTGGAAGGCTCCTGGCTGGGCAAGCAGTGTGAGCAGGAGCATGGAGGCTGCATGAGGGCCCCATAGAGCTGCCGCGGGAGAGCTCAGATGGCCTGGTGTGCACAGGGAATTATGCCCCCAGTACTTCCTCAGTGCTCTACTGCCCTTAGTCCATTATCTCTAGGAATGATGATTCTTTCCCTGGGTGTGTGAAGTCTCTGGATCAGGGTGAATGAATGCATAGAGCTCTGGGAAATTTCACTTGGTTCTGTCAGGGGCCCTATCTCCCCTACTGTTTATGGTGCCGGGAGACTAACAGTGAGAATGTGTCTGGTTTAGTGGAGCTGCACCTTGGTGTTCAGAATCAGGTTGACTCTGGCAGAAAACTCAAAGCCCCCCAGCCTCCCACAGCAGTGGCCATTCTCTTCTGATTCTGATCCAGATGTTGAACTTGGGAGACAGTTACAACCTGGATCCCAATTCTGTCTGAAAGCAACAGAATAACATAATCTATACACTAGTGGGTGACTCTTGGCCCAGCCCAGTGTAATGAGACATAAATGAATGACCATGACCTCAGAAGCAAAAACAAAACGAAAAACGGAGCAACCAGTAGATGTTCTGGAGGGCCTGAGTTTGCCAGGTATCAACTGTGATCTGTGAAGTCAAATGAGATCGTCATCACCATGCAGGAAACATGAATGAAATAGAAAACTAACTGGAGACTCTAAACGTGTTTGGAAAGAGGCGCTACGTGTAAGTGGGGGCATGTTCTGCCTGGTGGGCTTCCCTGTCAGTCAAGGAATTGGGTGGGGACCTGGCTCTCCAGGGATCCATGCCTGCCTCTGTTCTTCTGTGGAGCCGTCTTCCCATTTCCTGTGGGACGGGGGCAGCTGGGCAGGGACCAGGGTGCCCACTCTTGAGCGTCTCCCTTTTCTCAACTCAGCGCCACTTGCCTCCCCTCACCGTGTCATTGTCCCTGCATCTGAACAGGGGTGGGTGGCCTGCCCCTTTGATCAGCTTCCTCTTGTCTTTCATTTAGGTATCAGGTAAATTGTCACTTCCTCTTAGAAGTGTTTGCTGACCTCCGCCATTTTTATCAAATTCCTTCTTTATTATTTTTCTTTACAGGCCTCAGCATTTCTACCTGTGTTTCCTTTCTTTCTTTTTTTATTTAGAGACAGGGTCTCCTTCTCTTGCCCAAGCTGGAATGCAGTGCCACCCTCACGGCCACTGCAGCCTCCATCTCAGCCTCCCAGGTAGCTGGGAATATAGGCCAGCACCACCATCCCTGGCTAATTGTTGTATTTTTTTTTTTTTTTTTTATAGATATAGGGTCTCATTTTGTTGTCCAGGCTGGTCTCAAACTCCCAGACTCAAGTGATCCTCCCGCCTTGGCCTCCCAAAGTGCTGGGATTGCAGGCACAAGCCACTGCTCCCAGCCTTCCAATGTTTTATTCGGAAAAAATTGCAAACCTTCGGAAGAGCTGGATGGATGGACAGTGATCACCAGCATCCTCTCATACTAGGTTTGCTATTAACAGTTTACCCCACTTGACTCATCGCCCCTCTCTCCACCTATCCAGCCCTATTATTTTCCATGCAGTTCAAAGTAAGTTGTAGTCATTGATACATTTCACTTTAAATGTTTCAGCATGTGTTTTATTAAGCAGAGTGAAATGCATGTATTTCCACAGTATGATTGGATGAGTTTTGACAGATGGATTCACCTGTGTGATCCATACCGCTGTCATAAGTCACAGCACTGCAATGTCCTAGAAAGTTTCCTCATGCCTAGTCATTTCCAGTTTTGAGATTTTTCCCGTTGCCGCTGTGATGAGACTCTGGGGACCTCTTGCTGCCTGCTAGAAGCTTCCTCTCTGCCCGCATACCAGACTCTCCTTTTTCTGTCTCTTGCAGGAGCCTTGAACCTGGACAGTCCGTGGCTGATGGTCTCTGTAGCTCACAGGTTGTACTGGCCACACAGAGCTGTGTTCCAAGCTGTCCTGGAACTGACGCTGGGCAAGGCCTGGACCCTAAAGGACCTGGTGGTCAGTGTGGCCTGCAGCAGTCAGGGCCCCACCAGGGAAGGCAAGATTGAGATCTACACTCCAGCTACCACCTACCTCCAGGTGAGCAGTGTTCAGACCCCAGCACTGCCTGGTCCCTGACCACTGAGATCTTTTTCTGGTGCAGAGGCAGATAAAAGCTGAGGCCTGTGGGCCTATAGCAGCTCACAGATGTGTGAAGTTTGTCCCTCCCAGTCTCTACAGCTATGAGAGTTAGTTTTATCTCTCTCTCTCTTTCTTTCTCTTTTTCTTTTCTTTTCCTCTTCTCTTCTCTTTCTTTTCTTTTTTCTGTGATGGAGTTTTGCTCTTGTTGCCCAGGCTAGAGTGCATTTGTGTGATCCCGGCTCACCACAACCTCCACCTCCCAGGTTCAAGAGATTCTCCTGCCTCAGTCTCCTGAGTAGCTGGGATTACAGGCTTGCAGCACCACGCCTGGCTAATTTTGTATTTTTAGTAGAGATGGAGTTTCTCCATGTTTGTCAGGCTGCTCTCAAACTCCTGACCTCAGGTGATCCTCCCGCCTTGGCTTCCCAAAGTGCCGGGATTATAGGTGTGAGCCACCACGTCCGGCCTCAGAGTTAGTTCTTAGGTGATGTAGGAAAGTAGACTGAAAAAAGAAAATCAGATTTCCCATATCGCTGCTGAGCAGCTGACGGGGAGAGAAATGAAATAGGAAAGAAAGTCGAACCGTACTTTGGAAACAGGTAGACAGACATTCGGCTTTTGCCAAAAAACCAGAGTGGAAAATTCTAGGACATAAGTCGGTTTTATGCTGACTACTGACTATCAGAAAGTTGCTTCACTGCAGGCCTTTGGTACAGAAGAAAGAATAGGTTTGGGAGGAAACCCTTGAGTGTCATCCGCAGGGCTGAGGGAGCCTGGTTCATGGACAGTCCCCCTGTACTGGGTGATGCATGGAGGTGGGGAAGGTCCAGGCCTGAGGGGGCTCATCCGAGTGCAGCAGAGTGCCCTCTGAGGCCGGGCTGGGTGGCATCAGGGTGGCGTCAAGGGTGGTGGTAATCTTAAGGACCATGAGGTGGCCTCTGTGTACTAGAGACAGGAGCTCAAGGTGCAGGCAACCAACCAACTCCCATCCTTCACCCAACTGGAGGGCATGGCGGCCCAGCCCACGGTGGTGGCAGTGGAGGTACCAGCAAGTGATCAAATCCTGGAAATGTCAGATTTGCTGATGGATTGGCAGTGGGGAGAGAGTAACGGAAGGATAATAAATAGCTCGGAGGTTTTGGCATCTGGTGGGATGGAAGCGCCATTGAAGGAAATGGGGAAGTTGGCCGTGGGGAACCAAGGGTCAGTGACATGAGACAAGGTGGTGCGAAGTTCTGGTACTGAGTTGGAGGCTCAGCCATGCCCAAACCCTGTCTTGTCCCTGCCACTTCTCCCTGTGAGTCCCCTGAGTTGTATGAATGAGGGATGGCAGCCAGGAGGGCACCAACTACCGTGCAGGGCTTGTGCCAAGTGGTGACTGCAAGTGGCCTACCTCCCCAGCCCCGAAACGAGTCAGGTCACACCCGGCTCTTCCTAGGACTCCCGAAGGCCACAGTGATGGTGCTGGGAGAGAAGGCCGCCCGTCAGTGTGTGCCCTTCAGGGTACAGACATGCTGGATACTAGTAATAGCAGCCCAGCGAGATCAGATTCCCAATCTGAAGAGGAGAGAAGGAAGGTATGTCTGCTCAGGGTTGGGGCAACAGAGAGGAGTTTTGGCTTTTTTTTCTTAAGACCCTGTAGAGAAAACTAGCCTCCATGTACAAGTCAGGTTAGGCCTCACAGAAATGGCATGAAGGGGTTTTGAGGCATGAGTAGGAGTTCACCAAGTAGGAAAGAGATGGAAGAGTATCCCAGGGGAAGGAAATACGGTGTTCAAAGGCCTTGGTCCTCCTCCCCCTCATTGCAGGTTTCCATGGTGATGGTCTTGGCACAGAGCCTCTTCCACAGCTGGAGCAAACTCGAGTCAGCCTGGAACACAGCAGTGGAGGGTGAGATCCATGCTGAGAACAGCTGGGGCCGTAAGATCCTGCACTGCTGGTTGAAAGGCCCCCAGTGGGAGCTCAACCTTACAGCGGCCTAGAGGCGTCTGGAGCAGGTGAGAACCTGGGAGGCCCGTGTAGTCAAGAGACCAACCAGTCCCTCACCTGGCTCTCCTGCCTCTCTCCCTGCTTGGGATAGAAAAGGGCTTTGTGCCACTGGCTTGGCCTGTGACCTTGGGCTTCCCTGAGCCTCTCTTTCTCTCTCTCTTTCCTTTTCCTTCTTTTCCTTTTAGATATTTTTCTTGACAGTCTGGTTCTGTTGCCCTGGCTGGATTGCAGCGATAAAGTCATAGCTCACTGTAGCCTCCAACTTCTGGGCTCAAAGGATCCTCCCACCTCAACCTCCCAAATTGTCAGAACTATAGGCACATACCACCCATGCCACTATGGCATTGAAGGGGTTTTGAGGGATGAATAGGAGTCCACCAAGTAGGAAGGAGATGAAAGGATATCCCAGGGGGAGGACATCTCTGACTCTCTTTCAAGCACACATGAGGTATTGCTATGTTGCCCAGGCGGGTCTTAAAGCCCTGGGATCAAGTGATCCTCCCATCTCAGCCTCCCAAAGTTTTGGGATTACAGGGGTGAGCCACTGTGCTCAGACAAGCCTTAGTTTCTTGGTCTGCGAAGTAGACCCTGGTCACATTAGCACAGATTCAAGAGCAAAGCTGGGCTTCCTTTGGCTGAGAAGTCCAAGTTGTTCTTTCCCCCTGGGCACCTAGGGAGGTCCAGCTGTGGTGGGAGCTGGTGGGATCCTGTGGTCTGAGCAGGCTGGAGGCTGCAGTCCAGTTGAGCAGCTGTGATAGTCATTTCTGGGGGAGATCAGCAGGCTGTAGGGGGCTACACCTTTCCTCCCTGCAAGGCGGGTCTGCGGCTTGGTCCTGTTGGCCCATCCCTCCCTTTAGCCTGGGTCTTGTTGCAGCCACGGAAGACCCAGGTGTCACTGATGGCTCTGAGGACCGGTGCCCATGGCCAGCCTTGGGGCCTGCAGTTGGAAGGCGAGCTGGAGGAGCTGAGGCGAGACAGGACTTTGTACCAGAAACGGGGGACCTTGCTCTTTAGGTGTGTGTGCCCCTTCTCCTAGGCTGACATCCCTGCAAGTGTCCCCTTTTCCAGCATGGAGGGTCCCCAGGGGAGACAGGATGGGTAGAGCTACCTGGAGAAATTGTGCTGACCTGCTGGGGCCCGAATGAAACCCAGATCCCAGAGAAGAGCCCCTTCCCCTGAAAGCTGCCACATCCCTATCCCCTCCATTAGTTGCGGAGGCAGGAGCAGAAGTCAGAGTCTTATCATCCTAGCCTGGGGCTGCTTGGAGAGTCTTCTCATTTCCTAGAGACAGAGCTCATTAAAAAGGCAGTTCCCTGTGTGCTGGGAACAGCATGAGATTGGAATGAGCGGAGCCATCTTGGACGCCAGGCTATGCATTGAGCAGCTGTGTGGTGTTAGATAAGTCACCGGTCTAAACAGCAGCAGTAATGACAAGGAATAGCAGCAACATTTGCAGATTTCATTTGTGTTTTTGCCCCATTTACATTCATTGAGCACCTGTTATGTACCAAGTACTCTTCTGGGCACGTGGAAAATGACAGAGAACTAGAAGGGCAGAAACCCTTGCTCTTGGGGAGCTTACATTCATTTCATGTATGCTACCTCTCATCCCGATCACTGTGTCCAATGAGTGTTATTTTAGCTGCATTTTACATATGGGGAAACTGAGGCACAGAGGTCAAGTCGTTTGCACAAGGTCACCCAGCTAGTGAAAGACCATGCCTGGATTTCAGCCCCAGTCTGTGTGACACCAGATGATGTGTGCCATCTATCCCCTTGGGTCTTTGCTGTCAAATGGCGACAGGGACCCCAACCATGCCCACTTGGATGGCACAGTGAGATGGTGAAGGGTTCTGAGTGACAAATTGTGAAAGCACAGGGCTTCCCTATGTCCTGGTCTTCTCTTCTCTGAGAGAGACTCCAAACTTGGCATGCCAGGCCAGTTTTGACAGGCCCAGCTCATGACAGGCCCAGGCTGAGACCGTGGGGCTCCGTTGTCCCCGACACTGCCAGCTGCTTTAGTGGCTTTGGCCTGTTTTCCCCTCTGCACACCAGGCACCCCTTGCAGCTGCCCATCCCGCAGAGCCTCGTCCTGCAGGGGACCTTCACGGCTGACAGGCAACGCGAGTGCTATTCCCTGGAGACAAGGGTTGTCTTGAACGGCCGAGAGGAAACCCTGCAGACTGTTGTCCTGGGCTACCAGGCCAGACACCCCTATGTGAGTGGGTCCGGCACAGCCAGGAAGGTACCTGAGAGCAGGAAGGAGGCCCCAGCTGTCTCGTGACCTCCCTGCATGCGTGTGTACATGTATGTCATTGTCCCTCCCAGGTCTGTGCAGGTCTGACACATCCATATGATGGCACAGCCATCCCCAGGAACACAGAGGGGTGCCTGGTTACTTGGAATCAGCACAAGGTGAGTGGAGAGACCTTTGCACACCAGCCAGCCCTGGCTCAAGTTGCTGTCATCTCTCAATAGGATTAGAAACATGTTCTCTGGGCTGAGTGCGGTGGCTCATACCTGTATCTCAGCCACTCTGGAGGCTGAGGCGGGAGGATCTCGAAAGGCCAGGAGTTAGAGCCATCTGGGCAACATATGGAAACCCCATTTCTCCAAAAAAAAAAAAAATGTTTTGTAATTAGCCATGGTGGTGTGCACTTGTAGTCCCAGCTACTCCGGAGGGTTGAGGCAGGAGGATCAATTAAGCCCAGGAGGTTGAGGCTTTAGTAAACTGTAATCATACCACTGCATTCCAGCCTGGCTCACAGAGCAAGACTCAGATACCCACCTTCCCCTAGAAGAGTTATCCATGCTGGGCATGGTGGCTCACGCCTCTAATCCAGCACTTGGGAGGCCAAGGCAGGCAGATCCCCTGAGGTCAGGAGTTTGAGACCAGCCTGGCCAACATGGTGAAAGCCTGTCTCTACTAAAAAATCCAAAAACTAGCCGGGCATGGTGGTGGGCACCTGTAGTCCCAGCTACTCGGGAAGCTGAGGCAGGAAAATCACTTGAATCCAGGAGGTAGAGGTGGCAGTGAACCGAGATTGCACTACTGCTCTCCAGGCCAGACTGCCTCCAAAAAAAAAAAAAAAAAAAGGTTCTCCTGCCTGGGTTCTCTGTTTCATTTGGTCCTCCCTAGTACGGTCTATGTGACCGTCAGAGGGATATTTTCTTTCCTTTTTTTTTTTCATATGGAGTCTCACTGTCACCAGGCTGGAGTGCAATGGCTCTCAGCTCACTGCAACCTCCAATTCCCAGGTCCAGGTGATTCTCCTGCCTCAGCCTCCCGAGTAGCTGGGACTACAGGCATGTGCCACTACACCCAGCTAATTTTTGTAATTTTAGTAGAGACGGGGATTTCACCATGTTGGCCACGATGGCCTCGATCTCTTGACCTCGTGATCCACCCCCTCGGCCTCCCAAAGTGCTGGGATTATAGGCGTGAACCACCCCACCCAGTCCAGAAGGATATCTTCTAAAGGCCAGTATAACTCTGCCACTCCCTTGCTCTCAAACCGTGACAGCCTCTCTTGGATAAAGCCCCAGTCCTGTGCCCTCAGCCCCACTTCGTGGCCTGCATTCCCCTCATCCAGCCTCTCGCATTCCCTCGCCTGGCTCTTTCCTGCCTCAGGGCCTCTGCGTGTCCTGTGCCTGAAGCTGTCACCCTCTCCTTCACCTCCCTTCTACTCATGAGCTCCAGCATCCTCTCACATGACCCCCAGACCACCTCACACACACCTGCCTCAGCCTCCCGAGTGGCTGGGATTACAGATGTGCATTCCCATGCCCGGCTAGATTTTGTATTTTTCGTAGAGACAGCCTTACGCCCTGTTGGCCAGGTTGTCTTGAACTTGTGACGTCAAGTGATCTCCCCGCCTCGGCCTCCCAGCCAAAGTGCTGGGATTACCGCTGTGCCCAGCTTGCCCTATATCTTTTGCTTCTAGCACCAATCATACATTCCAGTTTCTTTCTTTCTTTTTTTGACAAAGTCTTACTCTGTCACCCAGGCTGGAGTGCAGTGGCACAATCTTGCTCACTGTAGCCTTGACATCCTAGGCTCAAGCAATCCTCCCACCTCAGCCTCCCGAGTAGCTGGGACCACAGGCACATGCCACTGCCACCACCACACCTGCCTTTTTTAATGTTTTATTTTTAGTAGAGAGAGTCTTGCTATGTTGCCCAGGCTGGTCTTGAACTCTTGGACTCTAGTGATCCTCCCATCTTGGCCTCGAAAGTGCTGGGATTACAGGTGTGAGCCACCGTACCTGGCCCAGTTCTGTTTTTGTGTGATTCATCAGTCACTGGTTCCTTGTTACTCTGGAAAACTCGTGATCTCCACCAGCACTTTATTTACCACTGTAGCTACAGGACTTGGTACACAGTAGGTGGCTCAATGAAGAGTTGCTGCCGTGGTGCTATTTAACACCCACTGCATGCCAGGACCCAGAGTAGAGGTCACCAGACTTTCTAGAAAGAACCCAGTAGTAACTAGTTCAGGCTTCACGGGCACACGGTTCAGGCCTTGTTGACTCAACTCTGCCATTGCAGTTCGAGAGAAGCGTGGACGGTACGTAATGAATACGTAATGGATGGGCATGGCTGGTGTCCTAACAGGACTTCACTTACTAAAACACACCACATTTGGACCAGGGCCTTAGTTGCTGACCCCTGAGTTAGAGGGTCTTTTCTGAGACAGGGTATTGCTCTGTCACCCAGGCTGGAGTTCAGGGGCTCGATCATGGCTCACTCACTGCAGCTTTGACCTCCTGGCCTCACGTGATCCTCCCACCTCAGCCTCCTGAGTAGCTGAGACCACAGGTGTGCACCACCACACCCAGCTCGTTTTAAAAATGTTTTGTAGAGATGGAGATCTCTCTCTGTTTCCCAAGCTGGTCTTGAATTCTCAGATTCAAGGGATCCTCCTACCTTACCTTTCAAAGTGCTGGGATTAGGCCAGGCATGGTGGCTCACGCCTGTAATCCCAGCAATTTTGGAAGCCAATGAGGGTGGATCACTTGAGGTCAGGAGTCAAGACCAGCCTGGCCAAAATGGTGAAACCCATCTCTACTAAAAAACTACAAAATTGGCTGGGCATGGTGGCAGGTGCCTATAATCCCCGCTATTTGGGAGGCGGAAGCATGAGAATCACTTGAACCTAGGAGGCGGAGGTTGCAGTGAGCGGAGATCACACCACTTCACTACGGTCTGGGGGACAGAGAGAGACTTGGTCTCAAAAAATAAAAAAGTGCTGTGGTTACAGATAAGAGTCACTGGGCCTGGATGAGGGTCTTGACATTTGGCTCTTCAGGGGTGAAACTTGTTTTTGCCTGTGTGTCCTTGGCAAATTATTTCATGTCTCTGGACCTCAGTTTCCTTGTCGGTAGAATGGGGGCAGTAGTGCTCATATCTTATGCAGGGGCTGTGAAGATTACAATGGAGTATCGTACAATGCCAACTACACCCCTGTCCAAGGCTTCTTCTGGACAAAAGACCTCTAGGATGGCGTCGTAACTCTGGGCGCTCTCACCGATTTTTCAGCAAGCATTTATGGA